GCGGGATGCTCATCCTGAGACATCCCAAAGCGGGGTGGGAGACCTGAGGGGCCGGGATGTCCATCCTGGGAGTCCCAGAAGGGGCAGGATGCCCATCCCCAGGGGTCCCGATGCCCATCCTGGGGGTCCTGGAAGGGTCAGGACACCCATCCCGGGGWTCCCAGAAGGGAAGGGTCGGGATGTCCATCCCGGGGAGTCCTGGAAGGGTTGGGATGCCCGGGGGGGTCCCAATGCCCATCCCGGTGGGTCCTGGGGGTCCCAGATGGGAAGGGCTGGGATGCCCATCCCAGGGGTCCCATGCCCATCCTGAGAGTCCCAGAAGGGAAGGGTCCCGATGCCCATCCCGGGGGGTCCCAATGCCCATCCTGAGGGTCCCCAAACGGTCAGGACGCCCATCCCAGGGGTCCTGATGCCCATCCCAAGGGTCCAAGTAGGGTCAGGACCAACCCCAGGGGCTCCCAATGCCCATCCTGAGGGTCCTGGGAGGGTCGGGATGCCCATCCTGGGGTTCCCAGATGGGAAGGATTGGGATGCTCATCCCAGGGGGTCCTGATGCCCATCCTGAGGGTCCTGGAAAGGTTGGGATGCCCGGGGGGGTCCCAATGCCCATTCTGGGGGGGTCCCGTGCCCATCCTGAGGGTCCTGGAAGGGTTGAGATGCCCATCCTGGCAGGTCCCGGGGTTCCCAGATGGGAAGGGCTGGGATGCTCATCCCAGGGGGTCCTGATGCCCATCCTGAGGGTCCCGGAAGGGTTGGGATGCCCATACCAGCAGGTCCCGGGGGTCCCCGATGGGAAGGGTTGGGATGCTCATCCCAGGGGTCCCGATGCCCATCCTGAGGGTCCCGGAAGGGTTGGGATGCCCGGAGGGTCCCGCTGCCCATCCTGGGGGGTCCCGCTGCCCATCCTGAGGGTCCTGGAAGGGTTGAGATGCCCATCCTGGCAGGTCCCGGGGTTCCCAGATGGGAAGGATTGGGATGCTCATCCCAGGGGGTCCCGATGCCCATCCTGAGGGTCCCAGAAGGGTTGGGATGCCCGGGGGGTCCTGATGCCCATCCTGAGGGGTCCTGGAAGGGTTGGGATGCCCATCCCAGCAGGTCCCGAGGGTCCCAGATAGGAAGGGTTGAGATGCCCATCCCAGGGGTCCTGATGCCCATACCAAGTGTCCCAGCAGGGTCAGGACCAATCCCAGGGGCTCCCAATGCCCATTCTGAGGGTCCTGGGAGGGTCGGGATGCCCATCCTGGGGTTCCCAGATGGGAAGGGTTGGGATGCTCATCCCAGGGGGTCCCGATGCCCATCCTGAGGGTCCTGGAAGGTTGGGATGCCCGGGGGGTCCCAATGCCCATTCTGGGGGGGTCCCGTGCCCATCCTGAGGGTCCTGGAAGGGTTGAGATGCCCATCCCAGCAGGTCCCGGGGGTCCCCGATGGGAAGGGTTGGGATGCCCGGGGGGTCCCGATGCCCATCCTGAGTGTCCCGGAAGGGTTGGGATGCCCGGGGGGTCCTGATGCCCATCCTGAGGGTCCTGGAARGGTTGGGATGCCCGGGGGGTCCYGATGCCCATCCTGGGGGGTCCCGCTGCCCATCCTGAGGGTCCCGAAGGGTCCCGCTGCCCACCCGGGGGTTCCCCACGGCGGCGAGCGAGACCCGAAGCTCCCTGAGCCGTCGGCGCGGTGCCGGTGAGGCCGTGCCGCCCGCGCCGTCTCCGTTAATCCCGTGAGGAGCCGCTCCGGCGGCGGTGAATGAACGGCGGTGAATGAACGGCGGTGAACGGCGGCTCCGCGCTCCCCGCGCTGATCCCGGCTGATCCCGGGCCCGGGGGCCGTGCGGCCGCGCTCAGATGGAGTTCTCCAGGGCACTGTGGTTGCTCCGGCGGCTCAGGCAGTTCCTCTCGTTGAGCAGGCTCGTGGTCTCGTCGGCGGGAGCCGCCGGCTCCGCTCTGTCCGCCGGGCCGGGATCGGCTTTGGGGGCGCTGCTGTCGGGGGACTGGGGACAACTGTCCATGCG